CCCGCAGCGGCAGGGGCAGGCGGCGCCGACTTGGGAGGGGTCCCGCCGCGGGGAGCCGGCCTGGCAGAGCGCCCCTCCTTCTCCGCCCGGCTGCTCCCCTCCCCCCACCCCGTCGCTGCCGCTTTCCCTTCCGCCAATTCGGAGAGCGACGGGCGCCTGTGACATGCCATCGCTGCCAAGTGACGGTCCCCGAGTCTGAAGTGCCCGCGAGGAACTGCGCGCCCCGGGGGGCCGCGGGCGATGACAGCCATGAAGCAGGAGCAGCAGCCCGGCCCGGGGGTCAGGGCGAGCCCGGCGCCGGCGGACCAGGTGAGGGTCCTCCCCGCAGGGGGCTCCTCCGTGTAGCGCCCCCCGCGCCTGCCCTCTCCGCCGCCCCGCTGCCAGCTCTCCCCCGCTCGCCCCTGGACTCCGCAGGAAGTTGGCGCCTCCGAGTGCGCTCCGGGGCCGGGCGAGAGGATGCGCAAGGTGGAGAGCCGCGGGGAAGAGGGGAGAGAGGTAAAAGCCGGGGTACCGTGGGGGGCCAGGCGGCCCGGGCCGGGAAGGGGCCTCCACTGGCTGTTCACGCCGAGGGGAGGCTGTGGCGCCCGCCCGCAGGCACCCACTCTTGGGCTTCTAACTGGTGCTCCCGGGGTTGGGACGCGCTGGCCCAGTGACCGAGTCAGCAGATGACCTTTAAGGCCATCAGAGTTGCGTCTTTCCTTTCTTGATTCCTGGGAGGAAGCGGGGATAAGAGTGAGGGGAAAGGAGCGTGGGAAGCCAGGAGGGATTCGTATTGAGGGGAGCTGGCGAGGTCCTGGCTCTGGTGATTGTGGGATCCAGGGATGTGTGTGTCTGCAGAGATGGGACGCCTTGTGTTGTTGGGATTTTGTGCCCGTCTCTTTCTCTTCTTTTTGTGCCCGCCACTCCCTTTTGTTCAGGTCTTCTGGAATCTGTCGCGTAACTGTGCTGGGGTGAATCCCCGTGTCATCTCTGCCCCAGGGTTGAGGTGACTCGAGAGTTCAGTGTTGCTTTTTCCCAAAGTTGGAGGGTTAGGGCGCCCTGGCGAGGAGGAGGAAGGCTCACTCACGGTGTTGTCACGTTACATCAATTAGAGACATTGGACAGGTCGCTGGGTAACTACAGAGGAGCGGGACCGAAGCGCCCGGTGGTACCCGGGTACCAGGAGAAGGCTTACTGCCTCGAATCAGCCATGGAAGGCCGCCTGTCGCGTAGACACCCTCTGCACATTGCCAGAAGTGGGGTGAAGGGGGGTGCTAGCAGCTAGATTCCTGCAGCGACGTGGCTCAGCGTATTCCTAGCCTTGAGGAGTGTGTTAAGGGAGCTGTCCAAATCAGGCTGGAGAGACAGCGAGGGAGGAAGGCGATGCCAGGGATGCTGCTATTAATATTCCAGTCTTGGTCATCTCTCCTGGCTGTGGAACTCTCCGGTCTTCCTTTCCTTCCCCTTCTCATTTCCCTCACATATGTTTCACACAGGTGGTGGGGAATTACTCAATGTCTTCTAGCTTCCCCTTCCTTTACTGGAGTGAATGTTGCAGCTTTTACAAAGCAGTGGTTTTCTTAAACCATGATCTTTGCTCCCAACACTGCTGTGGTATACGGATGTGAAAAATATTAATTATACCTTCCTCTTATACCTGCCCCAACAACAAACACTACAGGATAACACCCAGTTAGCGGATGCATAAAAAGAATTCCAGGAGAGGAGCATGGATTTAGGAGACTGGCTCAGCTGACAGCCTTAAGTTTCATTAACAAGCTGCTGTCTCTTCACAGCTCTTGCAAGGAAGCTATCAGTAAAAATGATTAGTCAGGTGAGCGTCCCCAACATGCAGCCTCAGCCCACTAACCTGTGGTTATTGGAGGTGCTGGAAGTGCTGCAGACTGTTCAGTGACCGTGGGAGTAGGAAAGCTTAAGCCAAACAAAGTGCAGAGGCTGGAAATGCTGTGCAAATAGTGATCACAAGCAACCCTTCTGTCAGGACAAATTTGGTACTTAAAATTTATCAGAAGAGAGAGTAGAGCTTGAATCTGTTTTCTTACTGTGCTTTTTTTTTTTTAAATGGACGCCTCAGATATTCAAGGAGTGGCCATTCTTATAACTCTTGTTTTAATTGCATACTTTAAAGTGCCTCTTTGAGCATTTGCATGACTTTAAAATGTCAGAAGAATGCATATTATGCATGAGGTAAAAGGAGAGAGAGTGATTTTTCTTTCTCAAGGGGAAGAGACTCAGGCTGAATATACATGGCAGCATCCCATTGAGGGTTTTCCATGCACACCCAGAAAATGTATTATACTCTGTCCTAAGCTTAATGCACGAATTGATGGCCATATGATGTGGATGATTTCTGTGAGTACTTAGGTGACGTGCTCTATTAACAGTTTCATTTCAGTCATTATGGCTGGCTCCCATGTGATCTTTGACTATGATACTTCCATACAAGCATCATTGATTATTCTGGTTTTGGTGATATTTCCCAGGGGGAAGGGAGATCTCGTATTTAAAGAAAATGTAGCATTATCTGCCCTATTTGGTAGTTAAATAGAAAGCATATTCTATCTAATCACTTATTTTATATGGATTTTGAAGGGATTAAGAATTAGAATGTTGTCAGAAATGGTCTTTCCCTTTCCATGGTAGTGATTTCTTATGGAATCTTGAAAACGCCATGTCCTGAGGGTGTCAAATATCAGTTTCCACTTCTGGCACAAGAGCAGACCATGGCCTTTGCTCAGAGTGGAGATGGCTCAGAACCACGCCATTTGGCTCTGTCATGGTCCTCTTGAGAGCTTGACTTCTCTGTGTCATCTTCTGTGTCACAGTCCTGCCACGGGAATGCTGTGGCAAGAGGCCCCTTCTCCAGAGAATAGCAGCAAATAGAATAGCAATAATTACCTGCTTTTACTAACATCCTGAATCATATTGTATCATTTTAGTTATCTGTCCTTTAAAGCTTCATTGAGTAAGTAAATGTTTACAGGTAGTTTTGCTGTTTTCATAATTCTCTGCAGTTATAAAATGTTATAAGTACTTTGACATGGATAGATGCAGTCATTTCCATTTAACATGATCAACATCCCATTTTGAATGGAGGAGTTAAAAAACTTGAATGAGTGATTCTCTTCCCTATCCCAAAAATCAATTGCAGTGTACGGTAAAATGTATGAGATATATTTTCCTGTATGATTCTTCAAACAACATTTTGAAGTAGATAGGTCTTGTTGTTACCCATTTTAGAGATGAAATTGAATAAAGAAGTTAATTAAGTAGCTTGGCCAAGTTAGTCTTCCTAAGTGATGAAGCTCTCTTATCTCAGCTCTCATCTATGGCATTTAGCCTAATCTAAAGTGAAGCACTTTACCTGCTGCACAAGCACAATATGACACATTCTATTAGTAGGATGTAAAACAATTTCATTTTTTGATGTGTTTTTGGGTGTGCAAATTTTCCTAGAATAAAAATATTGACGAATTTGTTTAAAAGGTTCAGTTATAAATGGAAATAATAGTATCTGAAAATTTAAAGTTAACTTATTATTCCTACTGGTGATACAGACATTTTTACCAGAACCATATAGGTCCTCATAAGTACATAGGAACTTTAATAACTATTATTTAATGTTTCCGTATCATGCAGTGCCTCTCAGGGTTTGTTAAAGGAAAACATTTTTAGAGAACATGTTAAAGTGATTCACATTTCCACCAGGTGGCACCCTTCTGCTGACTTCAGTAGGTAAAAATAGTTCCTGAAAGGCTTGACTCTTCTCTAAGCCAAAAACATCCTCTCTCAAAACAAAACCAACTATATTTTCTGGATAGTGGCAGAAAATTTTGTTTCTAGAAACAAGTGTTTGGCTGCTAGGATAGTATTCATTATGCATTCTTCTTTTAAAAACACATTTTGGTAGGAAACCAGTCTCTTGGCATTTCAACTTGTAGCAGCCTCTAGATGACATAATTCATGGTCAACATTGTGATGACGGAGATAATGCATAAAATATCTATTCTAATTTTGGCCTGTAGGTAATGCTAACATAAAATATTTCAGTGTAAAAGTTGAGATTCAATATTTCTAGTTCAGTTTTAGCCTGATAGCCTGATAAACATAACTGAACTTTCAAAATATATATATATATATATGTTTAACGAAAACTTGAGAGAAGTAAAGCTCTGTGTGTCTAATATAGAAACTTCTCTAATTACTCTGTGCTGTTTTTAATACTAGCTTTCACTTACTGCTATCAAGTCGGTCCTCACAGCAGCAGAACTTAGCAAATAGTGTTTAAGAATTATGCTAAAACCTTATTTAATGGAAAATTTATTAGTTTTCTTCTACCATTTAATATATAAAATAGTACCTCATTGAGGGAGAGTGCTATATGATTTGATTATAAAAGGTAACTTACATTAGATAAAATGGTTTTCATCATGTAATGGAGAGAATGTTCATTTCTTATGTTCTCTCAGTTTTGGGCTTTCTCTACATACCTACATAAACATACGTATATATTGTTCCTGTTATATATGTAATACATGTGTAATTTTATCTACTAAATTTAGAATAACATTATAACATTCTTATCTTCTTTTTATAAGTTTTTGTTTATCTGTCCATCTATCAGTCTACCCACTTGTTTCTTAAAGGGATTTAAGAAAGGATACACTTAAAATTCTTAAAGTACATGAAATAAAATTATAATATGAAATATTAGCATTGCACTTTAATGCTAATGAAGAATATTATATTTACAACAACAACAAAACCCCTAAATTTCTCCAAGTTGTTGTGAAACTAAAGTGCTTTCAAAAATTTGGTTTGTTGAGTCATTTGCTATTGCAGGATGCTTTAATCATTAATACTTCCCAGCTTGTTTGTAATGCACTACAGTGTACTGTGTGCCCTATGTAGTGCTAGGAAGCCGCAGATAAGACTGTGAGCATTCCTCCTCCCTCCACCCGCCAGTTTAGATACTTGTGTAGAACGGGCTGTGGGTTATCACTGGGGGTTACTAATGTAGATTCATATCCCAGCTTCACTGAAGACTGAGGCTGTACTTGGGCGGGAAACTCAATTTCTCTGTTATTCTGGTTGCGGAAGTGACAATTGAGCCCTTCGCTTGCTTCTTGTGGAGATTAAACAAGGAAGTAAGTAAATACTTTAAATACTGACTGTCCTGTACCAGATTCTCAAATTCAGCTCATGGGTTCAGAGGCTGTAAATTGCATGGGAGGAGAGTGTTCTCCTGGCGGACTTGAACCGCCAGACAGGTTTGTCTTTGGGTTAGCAGCACGAGTCGACGTAGCCTGTGCCACCAGCACACCCTGTCCTGTACAAAGTGCTGGGTAAATGGGTCATCCGAGAATAAAAGCTTTGGAAGGGGAAAAAAAAATAGCTCAGAGAACCATTAAGCCACACTCAGCTATTATTTTAACAGTTCATAGAATATCCCTTATTTTAGTGCTTGTAGTTCTGTGGGTACATATAAATTTATA